GTGTGCGATAAATTATGATTACATGCATGCATCGTAAACACTTCTAAACTAAAAACATTTTATAATTCTTGACTTGTCCACAGTTTCTAGAATAATGTGGCTCTCTAAATGCCGAGTGAATGTCCTCTAGTTACACGGGGAATGGAAAAGAGAACATGTACATCTTGCAGTGCTTCTAGATGTAAATTGAATTACGAAAACTTTTGCAAACATAAAATTACAAAATAAATATTATTTAAATCACGATAAGTCAGGAATTTTATAAAAGATGTAATTATTAAATGCTTACATTCCAAATCAAATTAAAATTTATTAAATTATATTATCATATTTTTTTATAAAAAATGGTATAGTATTTTAAAACTTTGTGTCTATTTTATTGAATATAAAAACAGTTCTATTTGATATAAAAAATCTAAGTTTCTTCATATAAAGAAACTGCGTATCTAAATTTTCATTTTCTTATGTTTTTCTCTCTCTTTCTTTTAAATAACTAATTCTCTCAAAATAACATTTATGATATGAAATTGATATGATCATTCCGTAAAATATTTTTAGAACACCGATAACGTTTAAAGCGAAGTTAATATTTTAAAACGCGGAACTTTTATAGCAATATGAAACTGATCAGAGAAACTAAAAAAACTGTTTTCACTGATATCTGGAAATAATATCAGTAAAACTTATCGTGCAACTGTGTTGCGAATGCAATATTGTGAGCGCATTCTGCAAGTATAATTTATCTTTCAAATGTATTCTTACGCAATAAGCACAAACTTGAAAAATATCATTAATCATTAATGATATATATTTACACAAAATTTAACTTTAAAAAGTAAGATTAAACAAATTATAAAAATATGTTCCCAAATATATTTTTAAATACAATAATTCCATGTTTTTTACACACCTGTATTACATTTAAAAATCTAATATGTTTTCTAACTTTTAAGTTTTGATTTATACTTGAAAACTTGATAAAAACACATATTTTTTTATTATGTTTAGAATATGTTATCATTAATAAAAAAATATTACATTACTAATATTAGTTATATTGGGAAAGTCTAATCTAATAATTCCATCTTGCGATTATTAGAAAGCGATTATTAGAATAATCAAATAGTATTCGTGGAAAGTACTGTGCATGTGCATACGTGCTGTATCTTGATGAAATGGTGTACTTTGAACTCTTCTGAGTAGCTTGTTATTATCATGAATATTTACTTTCTACAGGCTCATAATGGATGATTGTCATCAGGATATGTAAAATTATCAACATGCAATGCACTTAAACTGTGACATACATACACCTCAGTACTTTGCAATCGATATAATAAAAAAAAATTTGATTAAAATTTGACGATATATTTAACATTTTTTTTAAACAAAAGTAAACATTTACAACTACAAGCAATTAGACAAGCAATTAGACATTACACTACAACAACAAGCAATTTTGGGAATAATTCTTTTTGAACTATTTGGACGAATTAGTTTTATAAAATGCAAAAATCTTCAAGAGTGATGTTGATGTTTATTACAGATATTTCGATATAATTGATATCGCAAACTGCGGTCTTTTTATCTGCGGTGATAAAGATTACAGAATCAACATAGGCATTCATTACGTTATAATTAAATATTAGACTTGTAAATCTTTCTTCAGAGAATTAATTCGATAATATAAAGAACAGTATTTACCTGAATCGTAAGAATTGAAATATCACATTATAAGGGAGATATATTTATACTATAATTGGATAAGTTGAAATTTTTAGACTTTTGCATTCTTTGATATAACATAATATGCGGTGTATTTTTATGTCTGATAAAGATTTTATTTATGCAAGAGATTCAAGTCAAAATGATAAAAACAAAATTAACAGCTTTGTTTTTAATTTCGCAAATCACAAACTTAATCCTTTGAATATATAGGATGACTTGCCAAAACGCAGAAGTCAATGGCGAAATTTGCATTCTTGCATTTTCAAAGCAATTGTTTCTTCTCTAGTGAATATTTAAACGTTACAAGGCTCTTTAGAAATAAAAAATGAAAAATTCTGCATAACAGTTTAAATGAAACAATATAAATAATAAAAAATAATTTGTTAGCTCTAGTTTAATCTGCTTCAATAAATTACGTTAAAAAAAAATAATATATATATATATATAAAATGCAAGATAAATAATTCTATATTTACTAACAAAATATTGTAAATATCTCTTTGATCAAATCAATCAAAGTTTGATCAAAGTTCTCTTTAGATGTTTTAACACCAATAAAACCATAGTCAATTTTATTAAGAATTTGCAGTATAACTTGAATAAAATTTGAAGAAGCTTTTTGCTATTTTATAAATAGATAAGTTTATAAGTATTTATAATTTTATAAATAAATATGTGAAAATAAATTTTATAAGTAAATTAAAATAAATTTTACAAGTAAAAATAAATAAATAAAGTATTTTATAAACACTTTTTCTATTTGTTAATGTATGACATGTTATGACTAATGTCATGCAGACTATATGTTAATGCAGACACGCACATAAAATAGTTATAGTGAACAAATTATATGTAGGATAATACACCTGGTTGATCGTATTTACGATTCCATCTAAGACAATTGTCCTACTTTTTGACACATTTTTCGCATGTCACGGCGATCACTATCTGGAGCGATTATTATATAACAGTGTTGGTTGGAAATAAAAATATTACAATTGCAACAAATTATTACTGCAACAAATATACATACAATATTTGCAAATAAACGTACACATGAGATTTTAAATGTTACTACACGTAAATTAGCCAATTATCGAAACGTAAATGGAAAATACATATATTCGGATATTGTTTACGCATAAATACATATAAAATCATGGAATAATTCCCATTAGCTTAATCGACGATTCAATCGATAAAATTGTTTAAAACAATATTACTGACTATATTATTGTTGACCAATTTAATTTTTTCATTATGTTAAACATACAGAATGTTAAACATTATGTTAAACATAACAGAAGATAATTCTATTTATAATAAAAAATATCTTTTCGATTAAGTTAAAGTTATTAAATTGAAGTTAATCAAAGTTATTTATAAACACGTGAATTTAGACACATATTAAGGTATATTCCGTTTAAATAAATTTGTTTTCTATAATTAAATTAATATACATTTATATCTAAAATGAAGTAGATATATGATATTCAAAGTTTCCTGAAAGCGAGAAATAAAATTTTAATGCAGCAACAAAAAACAGATCTAATAATTGCGCGTCGAGATTGTTCGAGAAATATTATTATTATTAATAATCAGTGACGTAAGTAATATTATATTAAATTTTTTAATTCAAAAATATAAAAAAATTATTAGGCGCTTAAGCCAAATATTTTCTTGCCAAGTATTATCGATATTATATTCTATTATTATTTTATCTTACATTATTAAGAATTATTTATCATGTAATTTTTTCCCTAGAGCAAGAAGTGAACATTTTTTCCATTATTATTTTCAATAGTAAAAATTTTTATTTTTCACGTTTCGCTCTAAGAAAAAAGTTACATGATTAGTATCTTAATTGCAAGCAATTTCATATAAAAAGTCCATGTAATATATATGTATACAAATATATAAACAAAACAAGCATTTTTAACTCTGACGTTCTCAAACGATTGTATTAATTATTAATTCCACAGGAATTAATTACTGAGAAAGAATATTTCTTTATTTTTTTTAACACAAAATAAAATATTTTTTAAATACCTTCATCTTGTGTCGCTAGATTTATTTTCCATCAAAGCTAAGTGTAATTTTATAAACACGATCTCTGTGCATACCAAACCATAAGAAAATCAGTATCGTTATTGCAATGCCATTGTCATTTGTATATGTTAATTATATGTTTATATATGTTTATATTTGTATATGTTAATCAATTCATTATAATGCATTACAACGGACATGTTTTTTTTTTTGGCAAGGAATGATGCGCATTTTACGTTTGCAAAACACCCAAGTCATTCTCGCTTCGACAATGACTTCGTTGATTTATCTCACACTCGCAGAGCGACGTTCGAGAAAGTCAAAGTACGCGAATTTCTGAAATAGTCACGAGTCTCTTGAACCTGTTTTTACTTCTTAAGGAGGTAATCAATCTTGTCTCCGACATGACGGGAATTGAGCACCGCTGTAACTGCGCGTTACATCGAGAGAGAAAGACCGCGATCTCCTTACCTTTAGTTTATTCTTGTAATTATTCAGCTGTTCCGACGCGGGATCCCTCATTGGGCAAGCCATCTCGTCGATCGATTTCTCGCAATTACTGTAGAATCTGATCGAAAATGCGTGAGGCGCGTAGATAAATGTAACGAGATTCACGAGCGCAAATCCATCCACCGGCGTGTCACGACTACTCGTCGGCGGCGAGAATAGCGGGCTTTTATTATGTGCGTGCCGCAGCATGACGGCCGATGGGTGGGAGCACGTGGCAACTTCATATCGACGGAGGAGCAACGAAGTCGTTCGAAAGAGCCGGCTCAAGTCCGAACACGCCCTCGGCATACTTCAGTTCGATCCGCCGTGCAGTCCTAGAGCGATATTCATATTTGATTTTAAATACGAGATCTTAAGCTCGGACTTTAATTATGGTTTAATTGGTGATTAAACTTATCACTCGCATAATATCTGAGTTATTTTAAAATAAATCTTTCAATATATGTTATTATGTATATGGAAAGAAAAATTAAGGAAAATGAATTACGCGAGTTACGTAGCAGAGTTAAATTAATCGGAGCTTGATCGAAGTTATCTTTTAAATCTTAAATCTGATTTCAGAAAATGATCAACGAAAGAATCATGTAATATCTGAAGATGAGGCTTAACATATTTTGAATATAAGATCATGAAAATAAGATGAATATAAAAACGGACTACAAATATCAAATCGTTTCTTTTATCTGAATTTTGGGAAAACAAATTAGAAAATGATCTCTAGCTACGAGAACACAATTTCCATACCTAAAATGAGAAAAAACGATTTTATTGATTTCATTCGCATTTCTCTTTGCATTTGATTAATTTCTTCTATAAAATTTATATTAATTTCTTTTATAAAATCTATATTCTGTCAAGATTTACATTTCAATTTACTACATTATAATTTGTTTTTAAACAAGTATATTTATTCCTTTTTCTTCCAAGATAGATGAAAAAAACATTAAAAAATTAATAAAAATATAACTAAAAAGATGGAAATTTTTGTTAAATTATATTTTTATACTTATTTCTTTCTATCTTTGTTATATGTAATATTTTTTTAAACAAATAAATATATGCAATCTGGTTCAAAAAAATAAAAAATTCAAGCATTATAGGATCGGGGAAGACTTTCTGCGCCTATTAATCATTTTAATTTTAAAGGACGAAAGCCAATAATATTTTCCTGAATTTATTCAAAAATTAAAATGATGTTGAAAATTTTATTCGATCGTATAACACTTTTATAAATAATCATGTAATTATTTATAGTAACATATTATTTAAGTAAATATTTCATGTTGTAAGCTGTACTGTTACACGTATTTTTATCTATAGTCAAGATTTAGATGCTTTTATACAATGTTTTTTAGAATGCCGAAGATTCGAATTTTAATAAATAATTGTGTTTATAATAAATAAAAACAGGATATTAAAGCAAACAGATATTGGAAAAATTAACAATATAGAAAAAACAAAGTAAAACAGAAAGTAAACAGAAAAACTATATAAACACTCTATTAATAGGTTAAAAACACACAGAAATGTACATGTAATTTATATATGATAAATATAACACGATAAATTTCAAAATTTATATCTATGTACTGATCAAATTATCACTGTCCGTCCAAAGATAAATTAAAGAGTGCCATTAAAGATAACAAAATCACCTGCAAATCTGAGCAATTCCAAGTGAGTAGCTTGACAGTTCTCTGTAGTTACTAGATTGCATTTTGTTTAGTAAAAATAAATTTCAAATCCCTCGCGTAATCGTTTGGCTGTGATTTTGAAAATGTTCAAGGGACATAAATCGATCAATATGCACACAGAAAAATCAATATTTACATAATATATATATATATATATATATATAATTAAACTTAATTTAGTATATTAATTATGTGTGTGTGTGTATATATATATATATATATATATATATATATATATATATATATA